TGATGAAGCATTCCTTGGCCTATTTTGAGGTGCATATTTCGGCCATATGGGTGCAAGACAAAGGAAATAACATGGCCTGATTTTTAGTGAATAATAGGACAAGAAGTAACTATTCAATCAAAGACCTTTTGCTGATTTTTGTCCCTTTGTTGTGTGTGGTGATTTAGGCCTGATTTTGGGAAGAAAATGGTAGGAATTTCGTGGGAAATGTGTAGGAAAATAAGGGGAAAGTTTTATTTAATGAAAGGAACAAAAGAAGTAGAAAACAACACACAAGGTTTGTCTTTTTTATCATCATTTTCGTCCAAGGCTAAAAAGGAGGGTAAAGACTTTATTTTGATTATCAAATGAAGATTAAAGACTTTTGGATATTTTGGGAGAGGTTGGGATTTTAGTGGAGCCATCCAGGGGTACATCATATGTTCCCTAATAATGCAGAACATCCAAGTCTCTCTCTTTTTCCCCCACTTGACCGAAGATACCCCACCCCCAAAACCAATCAAGGCATATCATGGGCGTTATTCAAATGACTAATTTCATGCACTAGAGGCCGAATTCCACCCCAACAAACCCAACTCCATCTTTAAATTATTTCTACCAAAAAAAGGACACTAATGCATGGTTGTTATTCCTTTAGAATTGTGTGGAGGAGCTGCTTGATAGCCCCCCTTATTTGTGTATTTATATCTCGGCCTAGGGCCTTTGGAATGCATGTATTGTATTCTGATTTTTTCATTTAGTAATACACTTGTGTGTCTTCTATTTAAATTCATAATTCTATATCTTAAGAGAGGTTCTCTTGAGTGTGAGTTTTAAGTTCTAGTTATTTAAATAAGTGTGTCATATCTTATTTTAATACTCCCTCCGTTCCACAAAACCCTTTCGGTTTTGAGTTTGGGGAAAAATAAGAAAAGTGTAATTTTGGTTGACTTTCCAATTTTTCCCCTGATGTGATGGGAAAAAGTAGGATGTGATAGTTTTGTTATTAGTGAAAAAGTATGATGTGATAGGTAGGGTATGAAAAAGTAGGGGTAAAAGTGGTTTTTTAATAGAAAGTGGAAGTGTTTTGTGGAAAGCAAAAAAACGAAAGAGGAAGGGTTTTGTGGAACGGAGGGAGTACTAGATTCAACCCCAAGTTAAGATAAGGGTGTGTGATATCCCTTAACACCAACTTGGTTTATCCATCACTTTAACTCTGCCCATTTCATTTCCCACCATTTCTTCTCCTTAATCTTATTATTCTTTTCTTTAATTAAAAAAACACCAAAAAGAACTCTTATTTCACTCCAAAATTTTGTGCACCCATCTTTGCCCATTCACCATCCATATTTTCATAAAAAAATGTTAACTTGATAAGACCCCGGGTCTTGGGAATAACATCTGGTATTCGAGCTTGTTGTTTTAACATCCCAAAAGACTAAACACACTTCCATATTCTGCCATATTTTTCCTCAAACCATCTCCTTTAAAAAAAAATCCTCAAAAACCACCACCACCACCATTGTTTACTTCGGCCAACCTTCCACCAAAGAGCTCCAACACCTGCCCAGATACAGCCTCGCACCATCCTATTTTCTTCCTCCCTTTTGGCCTAAATTCGGCCAAACTCTTCTCACCAAAACCTCTCTTCAAAACTTATACTTCTTCCTAAGTGCTACTGTCCAAAAAACCACACCAACCACCTTAAAACCCTTGAGCTTTTACCTCCCTCCCCTCTCCTTTAATTCGGCCATCCCACCCACCAAAAACCATCCCTCATTTCCTTTCATCCTAGCTAATGCCCTACCATCGTTCTTTCACTTCTAAGCTTCAACATGTCTCACACTTCCCAAACTCTCACCAAGGAGGATTTGGTTGCTTCAAATGCTGAACTCAAAGCTCAACTTGAGTATTTGGCTAAGCAAGTGGCTCAACTTACCAAGTTCAAGATGAGCATGGTAAATACTCCAGAGGAAAGTGAAGATGATCAAGAGGAAGGAGTCCAACCAGAAACTCATCCTTCTCCCACAAGGAGACACACCCAAGAGAAGTCATCTACTAGTTTCAAAGTTGAAATCCCAATTATTTAAGGCAAGGATGAACCCAATGATTTCATAGACTGGTTAGATACAATTGAACACTTCTTTGACTTCAAAGATATTGAGGATGACAAGAAGGTCAAGCTTATAGCCTTGAAATTCAGAGGCTATGCTTCTACATGGTGGACCAATATCACCACCAAAAGAAGAAGAGAAGGCAAAGCTGCCATCAAAACATGGACCAAGATGAAGGCTCTTTTGAAGAAAAAGTTCATACCCACTCACTACATAAGGGAGAACTTTGCTAGGCTTCAAAACCTACGGCAAGGAAATCGGTCCGTAGAAGAGTATAACCGAGAGTTTGAAGAACTCTTGATGCGATGTAATCTTCAAGAGAATGACTTAAAAACCTCTGTGAGATATTTATTTGGTTTAAACACCCAAATAGCCAACACCGTGGAGCTGCATGTTGGGATTTTAAGCGCGTAAGACTATTAAAATATCAAGAACGTGAAAAATAAATAAACACACTACACAAGAAGAATAGAGAAAAATTATATCTTCACTATTTCAGAACGATACACAAAAGCCATGCATGGTCTTCTTACTGACCTTGTGTTTGTGGTCATTTGCAGAACGATACACAAAAGCGCCAAATGACCACAAACACAAAAAACTCTCCCTTGTGCCCTCTCAAGAAAGCTATATCCAGCCACTTCTCCCAAAATGTCCATCCCGGAACCTTGTTATCATTAGCGGCCTTTGGTGACAATGTTTGTGTATTTAATTTGCAGGGAAGGCATGAACGAGTACAAGGAAGTGAGGACATTTATTCTAAGTGTCGAATTCATTCCTCGAGAACTGAGAGAAAGAATGATCGAAGGTTTTGATACACGCAAGTTGATGTTGGGAAACGAGGCTTGGATAACGCAGCGGAAAACAAAAATTTACAGTCCAAAACTCGATTTTACCCAAAAACAACTTACGTAAATTACTAGCTATAGTAAGAAATTTACCTTAACGGTGAAAACGAAGAACGGAGGAACGGTCGGGGATGGTTTTGAGGAGATGAACGTAGCGCCAAACGTATGAAGCCTCCAACGTATCCACACGAACTTGCTCCGGAGTCCAAGATTAAACTTGTGCTAGCAAGTTTAATATAGGATAGTAAAAACTATAATAATACTACTTTGGGAGTAATAAATATATAGTAAAATATTT